AGAGAGAGAGAGAGCATGCACATAGTGCTATTTAGATTTTGGTATTTAAAAAAAGCCTGCCTCAGTCTTGCAAGTGCCATGCAGTACTGGACTACAGCATATCCTTAATTTATAAGTATTTATCCTCAATTAAATGCGGGGCATAGGTAAAAGCAACAAAAGCAGTAACACTTCAGGATGTTCATTTGACTCACCACACTTTACAAATCATGTCAATTGCCTTGTAGGCACATCCAAAATCACACAGCACCAAATTTGTGCAAAAATAGTTAACATTTCCAGTATATCCATAAAAATGTTTTGAACTGGACAGCTGTTCTGATTCTTTGCTCCTTTTCCCACAATACTTTTTAAAAAGAGTTTTTTTTAATTTTGATATTTAGTGATAGGTACCGTGGCCTCTTATTTAGATAATTTGCAATTTGCTACTTTGGTTGACCTCTCCAAGTGCCCTTCATGCAAGTGTCATTTTTAGTAGCACAAAATGAAATGAAATGAAATGAAATGAAATGGGGGAACAGTTTAAGGATTCAACAGGTATATAGCTTACTATGTTGATTTATATATTCTTCAAATAGCTAGAATCTCTTCTAGCAGAATATTGTCCTTGACAGTTAAAATGGTGTTTTGTTTTGTTTAATCTGAGAACTTGCGCTCCCCTGAGGAGAGCACTTGGAGGCCATGGCTGTGCTGCTTGTTTTCCACAGCTAAGTTTCTCTTTGTGGTGTCTGTCCTGCATATCAATCCCCGGCGGCTTGCACTTTAAGGACAAACTAGGTTTTTTCTTTTCTTTCCTTTTCTTTTTTTCCTTCACTTCTCTTTTGATGCTGGCAAGTGCACAACTGGAAAAATCACTTTCTTAAAGTAATTTGTCCTTTGACTTGTTAATTAAACTCAACGTTTTAAGTTTAAAGCAGTAAAATTATAATTATCTGCTCATTTTCCATTACAGTGGTGCCTCACTAGACGATGATAATCCGTTCCACTGAAATCACTGTTTAGCGAAATCATTGTCTAGCGAAAAGCATTTCCCCACTGGAGTGCATTAAAATCTCTTTAATGTGTTCCAATGGGGAAGAATCGTCATTGTCTAGTGAAGATCGGCCATAGGAAAGCCGCTTTGCGAACCGCCGATCGGCTGTTTAAATCGCTGTCTTGCGAAGCTTAGGTCCCGAAAACACCTGTTTGCAAGCACGGAGGGAGCTGTCAAAATTGTCGTCTAGCGAAAATCGGTTTGTGAAGCAGGGACCAAACATTGTCCAGCGAAATTCCCCCATAGGAATGTCTAGTGAAAAAACTGTCATGCGGGGTAACTCTCTAGCGAGGCACCACTCTACTTTCTTTAAAAAAAAGCTAACAAGGCAAGAAGATGGCCTAAAGTTTGAAGGAAAAAAATCATCCAAATGATCAGATCATTTTTAGCTCCCCTCCACTAATGAATGTTCTTAATTACGTGGAAAAATAAGGACATTATCCGTCATTATGTTGTTTTGCAAACAGGACATAATTAAACCTTTTTGTCCCTGAAAGCAACATGTTACATGTAGTGTTGTTAAATTCCCAGGGTCTTGGCAAATAGGGCCACTGCACTGAGGGTGCTTTCACTATATGGAAGCACCCTCAGGTCTCCCACAGTATATTGAGCTGTGCTGAGGCTGCCAGACACCACTTCCTTGTGAGCATCTTTGCACAATACATATGATTGCAAGCAGAGAATTGCTGCAGTCACGATGTCTGTTTGAAATATCTTTAAGGGTTCATTGAGAAAACAAAACAAAAATCTAATGTGTGAAGTCACCTTAGAAAGGTGCAGGTGGCCAGTTTCTGCTTTGGGAAGGAAACAAAAGTCGGAGAAAGTTTGTCCCTCTACAGCAATGGGTCACAACTTTGGGTCGCCAAATGTTCTTGAACTACAACTCCCAGAAATCCTGGCCAGCACATCTAGTGGTCAAGATTTCTAGGAGTTTTAGTCCAAGAATACCTGGGGATCCAAGGTTGGGAACCACGGCTCTAGAGGGTAGGAGTCAGTCACAAACAGGGCACATTTGTGTGTCACTCAGAAAAGCCATTGGTAGGTTCTCTCAAAGCAAGATTCTTTTTGCAGCCCTTTTGACAAAATGCTGGGAGAATTTGGTCCATCAGTCTTTGCCTGCTTTCCCTGTCGCTAGCTCTTTCCAACATCCCTCTGGCTTCCAGAACTGTTTGTTCTCTTTGGCACTTGGCTTTGCAGTTTTGAAGAGCTGTTGTTTTAGGGTGAAAAGACCTCTCTTTGCTCCTTCTGATAAGTTTGGACCCCTGACGAGGATGAATCATGTCTTGTATCTGTTTACTTACTTCCCAGGTTCCATCCAGCAGTTGGGCTCATGGAGAGGATCCAAGCAATTGCTCAGAACGTCTCAGACATTGCCGTGAAAGTGGATCAGATTCTTCGGAACAGCCTCCTAAATGGAAAACGTAAGAGTGCCACCAGTTTTCAGAAAAGGACTGGAACCCTTTGATTTGAGGCTTGCTTCCTTGAGCCTGTGATGTAATAGATGACCATGTGGAATGTCTTTCAGTCAGTGGCTCAGTAAGCAAACCAGCTTCATCCTCCCTAACCCCTGGGGTTAAGGATAGATTCTTCAGGTCAAAAGATGTGATGATCAAGCAAACTTTGAACCCTGCATTAAAAGTGTTAGTGACAGAGGTATCATGTTGGATTATTATGCTTTGTACAATCCTGCCAAACATAAGAGATAATGTTTTTAAATTCCATTCTACTCTTTTAGTTTCCATCTGTGATGTCTCTCCGGCCTTGGTGATTATGAACTAGCTACAGTATAATCTAAATTTTACTTTGTATTTGAATCTTATTCTGCTAATATTCATCTTCTTGGGTTTTGGATCTATTGCATAAATTGGCTGTCTTACTCAAAACCCCATTGGTGTCCAGGGAGTTGCTACTTGTTACTAGGAATGTGCACATACTTTGGACAAATGTGCAAATACAAACCAGTTCAGGGATATCAATGTATTTATGGGGCAACTCAGGATGAAGCAAAGAGCCCGGAGGCATTTAGCAGGGGAGAGCAGCAGCACATATGGATCTCTCAGGATCACTCTGGCTTTCCCATGTTGCCATTCCAAGTGGAGATGGGGAAAGAAAAAGGAACGAAGATGTTCATTTGGGGGCACCAGAGAAAGAGAGTCTTGGAAATGAACCTTCCTTGATTTTGTTGCTCCAAAGCCATTGGTTAGAGTCTGTACGATAGCTGCCGCACTACATATTTCAGATCCAAGAGGAGGAATAATGGCAGGGAAGAGAAAGGGCAGAAAGTGAAAGAAAAGGAAGCTCACCGAAGTGCTGTTTTAGAAAAAAAAAATCAAAGAACAGGCTGCCCATTGCCCTTTCAAAGTCCTTCTCTCACTCCCTTCCCTGTGGCTGTCCCCAGAATCTTGCACACTCTCCTGCTTCTAATATCACACATTCCTACAGGCCTTTGAAATTGAGAGTAGCAATGAATATATTCTGGGAGAGGATGTAATTAGATTTCTCATCTAGTCTCCTAAATCTGTAGCCTCTCTGACTGTGACACTTTCTAGAGCAGACGATTGTCAATGTGCTCCATCATGAATCTCCTTGGCCCCTGTAACATAGCACAACCAGCAATAAGGTCCTTCTCAGAGGCCTTCTCTGGCTCTGTCCAACTCTTCTGAGGAAGCAGAAGCTCACAGCACTTGAGCATCAGGCGTCAGTAGCAGCAGCACCATAACCAGTCACAACTGCAAAGCCAGGTCCGAAGGTGGCGGCAGCAGCTGGACACTGCAGGGGAGGGAGCTTGGTCTTTTCCAATGTCTTGTAGTTTGGGTTCCCAAATCCCAAAGGTTGCCCTCCCCACCCCCCTTTTTCTGATAGGAAAGCAACTTGAAGCCGTGTTCCTCATGGGAACTTTCTCTTTGTTGCTACTCAGCTATTTCCAGAATTGCAGTGGATGGAGATTCTGTGGAGTGGACGTCCAAACCTCCTGTCATCACAGTTTCCTTTCCTCTCCTGCCATTTGCCCAGCTAAGCAGCATAGGAGGGGAAATCGCTTTGGCAGCCCAGTCACCTACAAGGCATGGCACAGCTGAAAGCTTTGCCCCTGCTTATGCTTTACTACTCCCAGCGTGGCTTTCCTCCACCCATTTCTTTTTCTATGAAAACTGAAGTGAACTGGCAGTGGCTGGAGTTCTCTGCTGGTATTCTCAGAACTGCTTCTCCTCACCTACATAGTCACAGACCACATTGGTCTTCACTATGGTTACACTGGCTGCCTGGATAACTTTAGTGAGTTGGAGGTCTCGGGAATTTGATTCCCCACTGTGCCTTGCCGGAGAAGAGCCGGCCCACATGGCCTTGGAAAAGCTGCACATCCCCGAGGGCCATGAGAAGGAGGGGATGATAAACCACCACTGCATACTTTGATCCTAGCAACGTCTGCCACAAATCAGAATCCACTTGACTTCACACAATGAGTATTGTTCCTCTTCCCTTTCCAAACTAGAGGTTCACACCCTGGCCACTTAATCAGACTTCTGTTTCTCAAGCAACTTATCATTATATGTTGAAAGTTAGGCCTCCGCCTCCCTGAATCAAAAATTAGTTCTTTGCGATTGCAAATGGATTTCATTATGGTAATTATGTTGGAGAATTAAAAGCACTTTATGGCTGGTTGTCTTACCACGCTGTCAAAGTGTGACCCTCAGGTTTTAAATATTGGCTTTCTCGCTCATCTTTCTTGGTCCAGCTGCGGCTCACTTTTCCAAATGGCTTTTGCTGTCATTTCTCCCTGAAGTGAAGAGAGGTGCAAAGAGAAAGTCAATATAATATTGTCCATTTCTGTCCTCTTATCCATTTTTAATGCCTGCCTTTAATCTGCAGCTGAGGTTCCTAATGAACCAGAGTGGCAAAGGCCTTATTTAACATTAAGTACATGAATAATTGCATTGGTTTCAGCAATTTGTTCATGAAAACAAATGGAACACATTATAAATAGTTCATAACACTCTTGCCAGTTTCCTCACTTTAACTTTCCCAGTGCATAAATAATGGATAAAAACTGAAAACGGGGCTTAGCCGATGTCACAGAGCACGCTGCTTTGGGAGCAGTAGAAGTTACTTTTTTTATTCCAGCAGGTGGGGTGGCAAGGCTGGCAAATCAAGGGTCTGCAATTCCTGAATTCTCCAATGTATTTGGGATCTATTGCCACTGCCACCCTACCTGCCCCCCGAGCCTCTTGAGTTTGCAGCCTCTTTCTTGCTATTGCTCCATTTCATTTTTTCACATGAACAATAACTTTTACACAAATTGTTTCTTTGGTCTCTTCATTGGAAATATACACTAGGGATGTGGTGAATGTTGAAGGGCAGTGTATTTATCAGAACAGAGTCCCCAGAGTTTAAAATACAGGCAGCTCTGTATTTCTAGAAGTTTATTCCCCAGTGCTGAGACAGGAATTTATAGGAGTTATAGTCCTGCCACCACTCCAAATTAACTTCTCTAAGCTCTGTCTGTAGGAACAAAGCAGTTCTAGCAGTTTTAATGATCATCATCATCTTAGAACTTCTGTGCTGGAAGGGATCCTATGGATCATCAAGTCCAGCCCCTGTCAAGGAGGCGCAATGAGGAATCAAACTCCCAATCTCTGGTTTCACCACAGTCATCATCCCACTGAGCTTCATCCCTGCAGTTCTAGCATTTTTCATCCCTCTGAGATATCTTGCTAGGAATCAAACTCCCAACCTCTGGTTTCACCACAGTCATCATCCCATTGAGATATCTTGCAGGTAGAGGTGAGGTGTTTTGTAATACAAAGTGACCTTAACTGTATTACTCACATCCAAGTCATCATATTTTGGATTACAAGAAAGATAATTCACAATGACCAGAATCTTACTAGTGTTCTTACAACGTTTGTGTAACTTTCTGTGGTTAATTGCAGCAAATCAATGAGCCGCCCGTGGCACTTCCTAATTGCATGATCAAGCATGTGACCAACCCCAGTGCCTCATTAATTAGCAGCAATTCACTGTAGTAAGTTATGCAAATCTTATGCAATACAATTCTGATCAATATATGATTGCTGGGAAAATCCATCCTTTCCATCAGCTGCTGATGGAAGTCTGAAGTTTAACTCTGTAATGGACAGGGGAGCCTAAAGGGGATGGCAGGTTAGGCCATCATCCCTGATAATCAAAATTTCACAGAGCATTAGCTGTAGTGAACCTTGGCAATGCAACACCACTAGGACTGACACTGATTGGGCTCATAAGGAGAGGGAAGTGGATGGGTGGTGGTGGGAAAAGGGGAAGAAAGCACCCACTCAGGGAGGGATATGACACTGAGAACATTTTGTCCAAGAGCCCCCACATCTAGAACAGTCATTGACTGGCCATGATACAGATGGACCCAAATGAGACCAAGTTGTTCTACATTCATGTGCATCCTTCAGATGAGAAGAGTAAAATGCTGCCACTCTACCTGGTATTTAATTACAGTTGTGAAAAGGTACCTGTTTCACTAGTCAGAGTTACCTGTCATTGGCATAAGGCTAAGGGAGAGGTGGACAGTCTTTGAGATGTTATCCAACTCCAACTCCAACCATCTCCTACTTTTAGCAGTGTTGATCAGAGGCTGATAGGAGTTCTAGTGCAGCAGGTTTTAGAAAGCCACAGATTCTTCAGCAAAGCACACCTTTTCTAACTTACATTGCAGGAGATGTTTTTGGCATTCACTGCCCCCAGCTTCTAGTTCCTGACAAACGCATTCGTTGCATATTTTGTGCAATATTTTAGATATTGTTATATGCCACTTTTCTGCAAATGTAGCATTTAAGGAGGCTAGCAATAGTAAAATTCAAATACAGACGAGTGCAAAGATAAAAGGACATTAAAGACATAAATAAAAAGACACATTTTTTAAAAAAACAAAAAAACAAAATGAGAGCTGCAAAAGTCTTTTGTGGTCTAGAAAACACTGCAGTGTTTGCACTATGCTGCACATCACGCTCAGCAATAATGCTAAGTCTTGGGTGCAGGTGAGCTGTGCAGACACTTGAGTTCAAATGGCCAAGTCTGGGTACATTTCCCTGTAAATGAGTTAAAGAACAGAGATGGATATATGTGTCTTCATCAGTTCTTTATGTGTATGAATAGTATTTCTTCTAAGAAGTCATGCAAATAAAGAGATCAACAGCAACAACAATGTTAGGACTGCCAAGCTGGAAGGCACCCTATGGATCGAGTCCAGCCTCTGTCAGGGAGGCACAGTGGGGAATCAAACTTCCAACCTCTGGCTTTACAGCCAGACAACTAAATGACCGAGCTATCCAGCATTTTTGGCAAGTTTAGAACTGGTTGTACAGGAAATCTTAAATTTATTTCAGAAGCCATCCGTGATCTTCACACTGGAGGTGGGGGTGGGGCACTGCCTCTCCCTGACGTGGTAAGGGAGAGATTATCCTCCACTTTGGACCACGGGCTGCTGAAAATTGAAGAAAAGCCTCTTTATGCCACCTCCAGTAATGGCTGTAACTAGTTGTTCCTTACAATGCAATGCAATATGAGAAGTGAGTGGGTTACCTCAGTTTTGTGCTGCAATTAACAAATGCTTAAAAGACCATTGTTTTTTAGTGTTTGCCTCTTTACAGAAAGTGTGGGAAGGGCACACTAAATATTTACGGCAGTTTCACACAAATATATCACTGTTGCCGCATTGTTTTCAAAATATAAGAATTATTATGTCAAAAGGGTTAGGCTTTGATTTATGTAATTAAGTCCAGCAGTTAGTTATGTGGGATGGGTGGTTAAAAACAACCATGTCTTTAAAAGCTTCTGGGTTCTCAAGACCTTCACAGTCTGTTGCCGCCAAGATTTTTGGACCTCAGCTGGCAGAACCCTCAACCAGCACAGCTAATGGCAAAGGATTTGTGGAGTTAGAGTCTAAGATTTCTGAAGTAACAGAGATTCCCACAATGGTGTGGATGTGGCTAAACGTTGAATGGTTTTTCTAGTTGCGTCTAGTGTGAATAAACTTCCTTTTAAACTATGGACATTGTACAGTACTGGTTATTTCAAAGAACCAGTTGTGTGTTTTACTTTTGAGTTGCTGCTCTAGAAGATTTTTGTGCCTTTAGGTGTTGTTTTTCTTCACTGGATGGCTCTGTATATAATGAACTGCTAGCACAATTTTTTGCTGCTATTTGAAAATGTCTGTATTTTGAAGGGCTTTCAAGTATTCTTCAGACAGACAGGCCTCATTAGGCACAAACTCCCACAATGGCCAAGTGCTGGAGGTACAATTTGGGCCAACCATTAAGATGTCCTGCAAGCTGAGAAGCAGAAATATTAAGAGTACAGCATAGTGTTTTGCTTTCATTAATGTGTGTGCATGCCTTCATTGAAAAATGAACACACACATACAAACACCTTGTTTCTTTATCGCATTTAAAGAGACATATATTCAGACATGGCCATTTGAACTCAGGCGTTGCATGGCCTATGTGCACCCAAGACCTAGCATTATGTGCAGTGGTCTAGTGAAGAAACTGCAGTTTTCTAGACCCATAGAAGACTCCAGAGGCATTTTTTTTTAAATGAAATGTTTTGGACAGCTCTGCCCAAATTGAAATCAACTGACCACAGCTTTGCCAGGTTTGGAGTGGAAATACTCAAGATTTTGGAAGTAGTCATTTCATTATTCAGTAAAGCGTTCCCCATCACTCATTGCACGAAATATGAACACAGAAAAACAAGAGCTTAAGAACATTTTGGAAAAAAATAAAAAAAGAACATTTTGGAAAACTCTAACTCGTGTAGGGTTTTTAAAGCCACCATGCTAGTAGGAATAGTCTTGCATTTTAAAAAAACAGGTTGGGACAAAGTCTAGAGCTGCGTTCCTGATTTGTTATAATTAGAGGTCAGAAGGTTGACTGTTGTGATGTGTCAAGGGAGTACGGTTATCCATCCTTGAAATAAAAAGAAATCTAGGTAGGACTTGGAGCCTTCTTGAGCAGGGAGAAGATCCCAAAGTCAGTCTGAGTGTGGTTTCATGGAGTCAGAGTCCACGTTTGCGGGTATATCCATAAGGGACCAGGCTGTTCCCCCCACCCCACCCCTGGTGATCTAAATGACCTAGTTTATGGGCAGAATGAAGACAGCAAACAGTTGCAAATGGCAATACCATTTCCTTATTTCAATAGTGTTAATTCTAAGGTATTCATTTTGGAGGGGAAAAAAGTTAATCCCAGGTACCTTTTGCAATTTAAGCCAAGTTCTGAACTAGCGACCATCCATTTTACACAAACACCCTGTGTTTATTTTACTCAACAGCGATAGAAGGCAGACGGGACCAATGTGAGGTGCCCAGGGACCCCAAGTATTCTGACTGCTCTGGAAAAGTGGAGGTAAGTCACCGAGATCAGAATGAATGATGTGGAAATCAAGATATGTATTTTTTTTAAAAGAACTTTTAGGTTTGCATACTTTTCTAGTTAAAAAGCTGGTTAGGTATAGCACCTTGATATGTTTGCTGTTCTCTGCCACCTTCACATGTACGTCTGATGAGCACAAGGGAAAGGTGACTGCTTACAGGCTATGGCACTTCCTTGCAAGGGAAGTGAGTTTAGCCCACCCTCTGCTGTCCTTCTGCTGGCAGAGGCAAATACGTTTTTATTTAGATAAACCGTTGGCCACAAATGGGACGATGAGGGAGGTAGGGCCATTTAATTGTGTGTGGGAAAACTCACCCCAAGGTTGTTAGCTGCATTCTGTTTCAGTGACGTGCAAACACTCCTGGCAGGAGCGGCGGCTCCCAGCGGGCAGGGTGACTCCTCATTCTGCCCTTTTGCTTAGAGTTAGAGCATTGGATCAAAGGGTTTCTCCAGCCAATCCTAGTGGCGATTAGGTAACTAGTGTCCTATCTGAATTCTCACAACATTCTATGTAATAAGGTAAAGGTAAAGGTTCCCCTTGACAATTTTTATCCAGTCGTGTTCGACTCTAGGGGGCGGTGCTCATCCCCATTTCCAAGCCATAGAGCCAGCGTTTTGTCCAAAGACAATCTTCCATGGTCACATGGCCAGTGTGACTTAGACATGGAACGCCGTTACCTTCCCACCGAGGTGGTCCCTAATTATCTACTTGCATTTGCATGCTTTTGAACCGCTAGGTTGGCAGGAGCTGGGACAAGCGACGGGCACTCACTCCATCGCGTGGATTCAATCTAATAGTACTAAGTTAATAAAGAGTTCTCAAGGCATTGCCTCAGGCTCCGCTGGCTCGGACATCTGTTGCTGACTCTTCTTCACACTTTCTCTAAAGGTTAATTGCCTTCCCTTTGTTCTGTGACCATCCACAATTGTGGGTGGTGGTCTTCTGCTTGTTATTGTTGTCCTTGATAAATATTTGTAAAATCATTAATCTAGTGTCTGTTTTAATGCGATAATCTATTTAATTCTAGATTAATACTAGATTACATTTTAATCTAATAATGCTGGATTACATTTTAAGAATATAATTCCCGATGGAATTTTTTAAACTGCATCTGTTTTTCCCCCCCAAAAAAGTGATGTTGTAAGCCAACTTGGGTCTGGTTAGGGAGAAAGATGGAATAGGAATTTAATGAATAGACAAATAAGTAATATACATGCTGCTCATTTCTCTGATACCTGGAAATTATGGCTGGGTAGAAAATTATTTCAAAAGCATTTTGGGCAGAAAATGAAGTAGGGTTCAGTGAGAGGGGAAAAACTGGTCACCTGCCGTCAAGATGGCATGAAATACAATAACCTAGAAAGCAATATGCTTGATTCCTTTTGCTTCTGCTTTGAAGTTGCTGTGATGCCACCAACCCCCACCTCTAATTTTACCATCTATGATCGAAATTCATGGTGGGGCATTTCAGTTCAACCAAAGAAGTAATCATAATGCTGAAGATTTTTTTTGCAAGGGCCTTTATAGTACCATTGTTTCCGAACTTCAAAGAACAAAGAACAACATACATTTACAATCTGGGGGTGAAACTGACATTTTTTAACCTAACAAAATAGCTGGTAACACAGAAGAATTCTATCTTTATCTCGGCGAAGATATAGATGGAAAAAGAGAATACTTAATTCCCTTAATTAACCTGAACATCCTCTCCATCCTCCATTCCAACAGATCAGGAAATGGAGCCAGTTAGGGCTATTAAAAGCCGAGCCGAGCATCATCTCAGCAGGAGTAAGGTTACGCGTCTCCTTTGTGTAAAGCTGTAGCAACTTGGTTGCCCCAGCTTGCATGCTTAATGCACTAATGTAGCATTTACATCTGTGTCAATTATTCATATGCAAGCAATTGCAGAGACGTTCCAATGGATAGATTGCCCTGCTTGTTTCTTACTCTGGAGGGTTGTCTCCAGCCTGGAGGATAAGCTAAGCACTGTAACCTGAGGCTGCCTCTTTGCACTACATTTTGCTTAGAGCAGCACATTGCCTTGACTTGAACAGGGCATTAGATCAGAGCGTGTCTTTGGGTTGAACTCTCTAGTCTCCTTACACACCTGTTTTCATTGTAAAAGGAACATGAATTAATTACTCCCTCCCCTAGAAACGTCAGCCATTATTTAAAGCTGCAGACTCCTGACCCAGCTACTTGACGAAACATATTAACCACCAGATTAACAAGACATAAGCCTTGCAGTAGTCCGATTGCCCAGCTACAGCGTGGTCTTTTTCTGTCATTTCCTTCCATGGCTGGGTTAAATTTTAAGTGTAATTTAATTGTCGGAGGCAGTAATTCGATCTCCTGTCTGGATGATTGGTGTGTTTTACATATTGGGAGTGGAGGGCTGTCTCTTGAGTGGCTTCGTTTGTGTAGTTAAGTTTGGTGGAGGCTGGCACCGGCAATTACTGAGGATGATAGATCTACACGGAGAAGCCAGTGGTTATTGCTTTGCATGCAAAATCACCTTCTGAGAACCTTGCTGATTTTTTTTGCCTCCTTTGCTGAGGGATGCTAGCTCTGCTTTTCTGAGTTAAGAAATGCCAGTGTTTGTAGGGCTCTCTCTCGCCCTTGCTTTTTTTGACACTTACTGAGCCAGCTTGATTTTACCCTGATGAGTGCTTTGAAACTCTTTATTTCCTCCACAGCTTGTGCTGCTGCTGACCAAGGGATAACCAAGATAAGCTTTTTGAGAGGTGAACTGATAGAGCCCATTTGAGCTTCTTAGCAAGATTTCCTCTTTAATTTAGATAAAACATTTCTAAGATGTTAGCTGTGCATTCCGTCTCATGTGCTTCACATGTATATACTGTACTTTATAACAGAAGTCTGATCTTTATACATGGTGATTCTCCCCCCCCCTCCTGCCACACCCAGGTTAGGTTAGTGCCAACAGCAAATTTTAATCAGAATTTTATCTATTTCATTTCTTGTACAGATGAAGCAGGGCTTTCGTTCACAAAGTCTCATGTTCTGATACATGGGTTAGTCTTTAAGGTGCCCTGGGTCTCCCCTCCTCTTTTCTGTTTGTTTTTTTGGATCCAGAGACTAATACGACAACTCGTTTGGAAATCTATTTGTTGATTACTCTGCTTTTACCACTTGCTTCTATGATGATCGAGGGACGTGGTGTGTAGGAAGCTAAATCTCAGTTGTCTGAGGAATGGCAAGACTGGGAGACAATGCTTTTAAGTCATCCTGGGTGTGGTGGTGCTGTGGGTTAAACCACAGAAGCCTCTGTGCTGTCAGGTCTGTAGATCTTCAACTGTAAGATCGAATCCACATGACAGAGTGAGCGCCTGTCACTTGTCCCAGCTCCCGCCAACCTAGCAGTTCGAAAGCATGCAAATGCGAGTAGATAAAGAGGGACCACCTTGGTGGGAAGGTAACGGCCTTCCGTGTCTAAGTCGCACTGGCCACGTGACCACGGAAGATTGTCTTTGGACAAACGCTGGCTCTATGGCTTGGAAACAGGGGTGAGCACCACCCCCTAGAGTCGAACACGACTAGACAAAAATTGTCAAGGGGAAACTTTACCTTTACTTTTCTATGATGATCTGGAGAAATCTTGCCTTTTCACTGATCTTTCCCACCAAATAAAATTGTCAAGGGGAAATTTTACCTTTACTTTTCTACGATGATCTGGAGAAATCTTGCCTTTTCACATCTTTCCCACCAAAATCGGTAATTGCAATGTCTTGCCATAATGTCACTGTGCCAAACTTTTTACAGTTAAAACAATAACTTGCCTACAATTCCATGTCATATTCTGTGATGAAATCCAAAACTTAGCCATCAGAAAAGTTAACCTCTTCTCAATATATAGTGAACTCTTAAGCTGTGATCTCTTGATAGTATTCATTTCATGAAGAAAAAGACCTCCATTGGCTATTACATTTTAAAAAAATTTGCCTGACATATCTTCTTTGCCTTGCAGTGGATGAGGGCCAGGTGGACGTCAGACCCCTGCTATGCATTTTTTGGTGTGGACGGCACAGAATGCTCATTCCTCATCTACCTCAGTGAAGTTGAGTGGTTTTGCCCTCTGCTGCCATGGAGAAATCAGACAGCAGCCACTTCTTCCACAAAGCCACCAGCTCAGGTGCAGGTGAGAGGGTCTTGTGGGCCATACATTGTTCCTGTCGAGTAACCATGTCATCTACTTGTCAAGCATGTTAGTTGTTACAGACTAGAGGATGCCAGAGTCTCTTTGTAAAAACCTTCAATAGAAGGAAAATTACTGCTGAGTTTGAGACTGGGCATGGCCTCTGTACTCATGTCTCAGGACGTGGCTTCCCATCCCAATTCACAATGGTGTGCTCCGGTTCAAGCTCTGTGCAAGTGAGGAGGCTGAAGATCAGGGTCCATCAGGTCCATACCATATGATCCACTGAAGTCTCTCCTTGTGGCCATACTCTTCTAGTGTCAGCCCATCATTATGTTTGGTCCAATGCCTGGAGAGAGTACAAAGAAAATTCAGGCTTTCCATTCCTCAAGTTGTACTTTCTCAAATGCTGGAGGTAGATCCCAGCAGTCTGTGCTATCGGCCTCACTGCTGGATAGCTCATTGGTTTAGGAAGAGGTGGGTAGCACAATTCCCCACTGCTCCTCCTTGACAGGGGCTAGACTTAATTATCAATAGAGTCCCTTCTACCTCTGCAGTTCTAAGAGTATTATTAAAGATTGATGGAGAGCACAGAGGAGGATGTATGGGAATACATAGAAGGCTATTCTGAGCTCTGCAAGCAACCTTTATTGAGATTCTGGTAATATGCCTAGGAAAGTTATCATGAGCATTAGCAATGGCACTTATTGAGATTCTGGTAATATGCCTAGGAAAAGTTGTCATGAGCATAAGCAATGGCACATTGTCAGAAACCGTGCATAAACCCATTCCAGTCACCCTAGAAATGATCCTGTAACTGTCTTCTTCCTAATGTATAACTAAATGAAGCTTATGTAATTGTAGTCTTCTCTTTTCTGTCCTTTAATTTCTTAGATTAAAGATAAAATGAGCTAATAAGCACCACAAAGGCCAAAGATCTCAGAAATGTCGAAGTAAGTTAGGAATTAGTTCAGGGCCTTCAAAACATAAACTGCAAAATAAGCCAAGAAGTTAGAACTCATGCAAATAATTAACCACTGGCCATATTGAACGATCATGCCCTCTGATGTCAAACTCGACTGATATGTGCTAACGGGACAATGGCTAAAGCAGGGCCAGGTTGAAGGTTTTGGTTCTTACCTAAAAACTTCCCACAGTTTGGGACCTTGCTACTTATCAGAGCATCTTTGCCTAAGAACATCAGCACACACCATCTGTCCCTCACAGGCACAGTTCTTACAGGCTGTCACACTGGGAGAGGCCAGGAAGACGCCTACAAGGAACTGGATCTTCTCAGCGGTGGCACCTTCCCTTTGGAATGGACTCCCAGTACAGCTGCCCCTGGATCTCTCCCTCTCATATTCCAAGAGAATGCTCAAAATGCAGCTCTTCAAAGGAGTCTTTAAGGACCACCTCTTTTAACGTTTTGCTATACTTATACTCCTGTCTTGCTGTCGTTTGGGTTTCCCTAGCTTTTGTGCTCAGATATATTGCTTTACTTTTGATTTATTTGATTATTTGTTTTTATTTTGATGCTCCGCTATTGGATATTACTTTGTTTGTATTCCTGTGATGTGAACCACTCAAGAGTAGTGCCCGGCACTAATTGGGAAGTACACAAACAGATGAAATAAATAAATGTTTGCCCAACAGTCCAGTAAGGAGAAGGCATGTCTGTTGAGGATGGGAAGAGGGAAAAGGAAGGGTGAGGGGAAAATCAAAAGGAGTCTTCTAAAGGAGATCAAAGCTTAACAGGAACGGACCACACTGTAACATTTTGGTGCAGGTTCAACTGAGATTGGCCTCAGATAAAAAATTAAATGTGGCCTCCGTCTCACAATTTGTTTCTGAGGATGTCCTGAAAATATTGCCAGACTGTATCTAAAGCTCAGTTTTTATGGCTGAAGCCCAGAAACACTTTCAGGCTTACCCCAAGTGCCACACAAGCAACATAGAAAAGAGAAGCAAGGTGCCCCTGTTGTCTCTAAAGGCTTAAATAACTCGGGATGGTGAGTCTGTGAGGGCCACTGGGTCTTGCATGAACAGAGAAGCACAATTGTTTCTTCTTCTTCCTGTGTTCCTAGGCGGTTTTTCAGAGGGACTTCTCCTACCTCTTGGAGCTGATCGGCAGTGGCAAGGAGTCTTTGATCTTCATGAAGAAAAGGATTAGGCACTTGGCCACACAGTGGTTAAGGGCCTCACATAAACTGGAAGAGAAGCTGGAAGGCAAGCAGAGGGATCAGAAACAGGTAAAACAGTCAAGTCACTTGTGCTTGTGAATCAAATTCTATTGTCAGAGTAAGATGTTCCAGTACATCCTTCAAAAGTTTGTATTGCATTCTCAACAGCCTTCTCCTTTGTAACAACTAGTGTTAAAAAGTCACCCCCTTCTCTCTCTCTTTCCTCCTCTAGATTTTAATCCACATTGGCTTCTTGACAGAAGAATCAGGGGATGTTTTCAGTCCCGTGACTTGTGCTTGTGAATCAAATTCTATTGTCAGAGTAAGATGTTCCAGTACATCCTTCAAAATTTGTATTGCCTTCTCAACAGCCTTCTCCTTTGTAACAACTAGTGTTAAAAAGTCACCTTCTTCTCTCTCTCTTTCCTCCTTTAGATTTTAATCCACATTGGCTTCTTGACAGAAGAATCCGGGGATGTTTTCAGTCCCCGTGTGTTAAAAGGGGGGCCACTGGGAGAGATGGTCCAGTGGGCAGATATTTTAGCTGTCCTTTACATCCTGGGCCATAGCCTGAAGATCACCGTCTCATTGAAAGAGCTCCAGAGGTGGGTCTACAGATGTAAAACAAGTTTTAAAATGTTCCTGGTTTGAAAAGAAATCCAAAGGCCATTGTGGCTTCTTTTGATTAGCCAGTGTAAAGGATAAAATTCTGTATTACATTACAGTAACTTCTTATCTTTGTCCCATAATTTGAATACTGGTTTAGTGGTGCAAAAATCATGCTTGATGAGAAGGAAAAGCTTCCTTTTTAATATTAAGGATCATTATTATTGGTATTGTTGTGTGTATTTGCAGTATCTTCTTATCCATTTTAATAACCATTAAAGAATTATGGAATAGGTAGTTTGATGACGCACTTAATCTTCTCTATAGTTCAGTTGTTGTTTGTTGTTTAATCGTTAAGTTGTGTCTGACTCTTCGTGACCCCATGGACCAGAGCATGCCAGGCCCTTCTGTCTTCCACTGCCTCTGTAGTTCAGGAGGTGCACCAATTTCTCGGCACCTCACCAAACAATAAATCACAGAATTCCATGGGCTAGAACCATGCAAATTACAGTGGCATCAAACTGTTACAATTGTGTGGTGTAGATATACCCCTTCCTGCTGTTTTAATGCTGCTGGTTGTAGCAGCATCAGCTGAAAAGAATGGAAGGTCTTGTTGTTCCTCGCAGGCATGTTTCTCTGACACAGAGTTAGAGGTAGCTGGTTGGAAAGACTGGTTCCAGTCCTGGTAGTCAAGGAAGTTAAAAGAGAACTTTATCATCTCACTCTTAACAAAAAGAGACCAGCAACAGGAAACACTACCCTGACTCCACCCAGAAATGACTTACTGCCACCTGGTGATTAAATCATATAATAACACTATCCAGACACCATCTCATGCTCTTTCATCACTCTCTTACAAAGGCAGGCAGGCAAGCAATGATTTATGCCAACTGGCCATATGATGATTAGATGCTGAGGGAAGGGGAACTGTGATTTAGTTTAGCCCAGAACTGATGCTTTCTTTCTCAAGGAAGGGAACAGTGGATTTTCAGGAAAGCCCTTGTGTTCCCCTCATCATCACCAGTTTATAACCATGGCTGTTCAAGACGTCTGCTCAGTTTCACTTTGTTAGGAAGAAACAATAATTCCATGACTCCTGAATTATCCCCTCTGCCCATAAGGCTTGTCACACACACACACACACAAAGACTACCTTTCTCATACTTGTTTGCTACATGGTAGCCATATATCCTATTTTCGGGAGGGAAGTCCTTCATTTGACGGACCACTGGAGGACCATCCTCCGTTTTGAATGTGTCATCTGTTTGAAGGGCTGCCCAGTCCAAGCCACATTGAAGAACCGTACTTGAGAGATGCACTGGAATTCTAAATTATGAAAATGATCTTTAACTTTGTACTTGTGTCTGCAAATTAGCATATACAGTTTTATGCAGATCAGTGCCCTCTTCTATGCTCCTTTTGGGTGACGCACATCATCTTTTTGGGGTGGGGTGGGATGAGATCTTATTGGCAACCCTAGTTTACTCCCATGTTCATTGTGCTTCTGCACTGCATTCACCCTGCATTAGGGTCCTTTTTCCTTCCTCATAGAATTATGTCAACTAAGCAGGGTTCATATAGCGAAGGTGATGATGCAACCATGCTACATAATCTCCTGCAACCAAACAAGGCTTGTCTGCTGGGGAAGCAATGTTTCTTGAGACTTCTTGGCCAACAAGAGATGAACAAATAATGCCATTTTAGAAGAACACTTTTTGAGTAGAGAAACATTTTTGAATAGGCGAAATGGGAGAAGGGCAACATTCAGCACTGATGAAAGTGTTCGTGGATCCCCTTGCCTGCCTCAGTTCAATGCTACTTTTAGCTCAGACTGAGCTATACAAAGCAATTATCCCAAATAAATGGGAATGCTTTTGAGAAGGTTTAAGAACAAGAAAGAGCAAATAGGATCACAGCAGGACTCCACTGATTAATATTTAGCATTTGCTGATCCAGTCTGAATAGAGGCCCCTTCATGACTCAAAGCTTTTCACCATTCTCAAAAATAGAGTGAGAGGGAGCCCCGTGCAATGTTCCCAACCCCAATCTGTATTGTGAGGGTGTAACTGCCCCCCCCCCCCAGATTCTCTCATCTTTACTCTCTCCCTTTCTCCCGGCCTTGCCAGCTGTTATAGACTTGAGATGAGGGCGCAAACGGCTTAATTATGCCAGAATAGAAAGTGATAGGTTACACACAAAAAAAGAGTGAAAAGAACATGAAATATTTTATTTGATGTTTCTGTCTAAACCAAATCTGTAGTAGGCTATGCTGGCTGGGAATTCCTGGTTCCAAAGCCAGAAGTCAGGAGTTTGGTTCCTGACTGTTGTCCCCTGGGGCAGGCTGCACAATCCCAAAGCATTACCAGAAGAAGAGGTAGAACACCCCGGGAAGGGTCAGCATGAATTGGAATTGACTTGACGGCTTGTCATTATTATTATGAATTGAAAAAATGAATATTTCCAGCTAAAATAGAAAGATTTTGCTTCTGCTTTGCATCTGCTTGTTTCTCCTAATACCTTAGGGATGCTTCTATCACCTTCTGAATGTCATCGTCCACCCCGTGTAACTATGAGAGTTATGGCAGACCTTTAAGCAGCCATTTCTCCCCACGTGAATTCAATTGTCTCTTCCAGCCAGACACCTAACAGCTCACTCTACTGCTGCAAGTGGCTTTCCGTGTGCAGAGGATCTCTCTCTCTCTTTTTGTGTGTGCCTGTGTGTGTGTTCACATTCTTCTCTCTTAATTTACTGTGGCACATTCAGGTTTTGTAATGCAGCAACCCCATGGCGTCTCCTTTTAAAGGGCAGGAGAAGGGCCTCCTGTTTGGCGAAGCTAGCAATTTATTTTTCAAACTTGTAATTCAATTTAATTTTATTTGCTTTCTAGCTCTGGGTGGAATTTTCCCTTGCACATCATTTCCACTACCTATCTATTATACCCCGAGAATGGCAAGGACAGAGGCCATCTGGCTACGCAGCTAATAGAAGAACTTGACTCAAAAAGATGAGTCAAGCATCGCTTAACACTTAAGAGTGTTAAGCACTTAATTACCACTTCTGAGCCTTGAGTCAGGACCTTGGGCAGAGGAGTCATAGCATCAGAGAACTGTGGAGTTGGAAGGAGCCTGTAAGGCCATCGAGTCCCACCCCCTGTCCCGTGCAAGAATCCAAATTAAAGAAAATCTGACAGATGGCTGTCCAGCTTTCTCCTGAATGCCTCCAACACTGGAGCACTCACCAGCTCCTGAGTTAGGACTAGGATGCACTGTGGAAGGGAAACTCCTAATATGTCCCAGTGATCCTTTTACTGTAGGGCATAGCGCTGTGATACATTCCTGTATTTCATTGTGAGTAAATGATTGATATCTTCCTATCTGTGCCTTCTTGGTGACATGAAACCTTTTCCCAGCCCTATCTCCAGTGTGTGGGGGTGAAGGTCGCAGTGCCCTCTTCTGTTATTGCCCTAAGCATGTCTCGTTGGCACATGCAGATGTGGAGCACTTTGTTCCTCTTAGCACCCTGTGTCAAGTATGTCACCATCCAGCATTTCATTTCTACATTGAATTAGCCTCCTTCATCCCCTGCAAGATCTGTTTCTGAATCTGTAGTTGCCTTCTTACATTCTGGAATGAGGGCACAAGGCAAAGTGAATAGGATGGATCAAGGGCCAAAACTTGATGAATTAGCTTAGATGACCTGCAGCAGAATATGATTGTGAATGCCACTTCCCTTGTTTTCTTCTTTATGCAGGCCACCAGTTGTCAAAGTAGAGGGCTAGGATGTTGTGTCTCTTGCTGCCTCTCTACATGGGCAGCTCACTTGTGTTATATCAAGTAACAAATACGTTACTTATAATGTGTTCCTTTTCTGGAGTAGCAAAGGGGCAACAATTCTGTATTACTTCTTTGGAAAAAAATAAGAAAATAAATACTAATATGGTAGCTTTGGGGGGAGAATGAGTAACAGCTGACTGGATAGCTCAGTGGTTTATTTTTCTGGCTTTGGAGTCTGAGGTTAGGGGTTTGATTCCCCACTGTGGCTCCTAGGAGAAGAGCCAGCTTGTATGGCCTTGGGCAAGCTGCATCATCCCTGGGAGCCTTCAGAAGAAGGGAATGTTAAACCAGTTCTGAGTACAGTATTCTCTACCTGGGAGTCCCTGGAAAAGGTTGCCTTAAGTCACAATTGACTTGACTGCACACAATTATTATTAATAAGTAACACTTGTTACTCAGCAATGTTTTGAGAAATTTGGACTATTGTGGCATTTTTATATATATACATATATCTGTGTGTATATGTATACATATACATATACACACAAATATATATATATATACACACAAATATATATACATACACACATACACACATACACACATATACACATACAGTATACACACACACATACATACATACATACATACATACATACATACATACATACATACATACATACATACATACATACATACATACATACATATTACAGTGAGTTCTAAAGCAAACAATTTAAAAGTGATGTGCTTGCAACAGACTGTAGGTAATGGGTTGCAAGCAACATCTAACTTTAAAAAAAACCGCACCAACACACTAGTGTTTCCAATCATGCTTTCAACCACTGCTCAGAGCTTTGCACTTATCATTATGACTGATGGTCTGCTGAGTAGGTTCTGAGAATGTCATGTGCTTGTAAGGCCTATCAGGGCAATTGGCCAGTGGATCTTTTGGGTGCACAAAGGAACTCCCTGTCCAGAACCCTCAGGTAAGATATGAAAGGGTAGGATTCCTTTCACTCCGGTGTGTACAATATGTGGCATTTGCATGCAGCATTCCAGGGATGCCAATACAGCCTTCTAGCACCCTATCCATCTCCATCACAGCATTCCCCAAACACCCAAAGTTATTTGCCCCCCCCCAAAAAAAAACAAGTTTGGCAGAAAAAAATCTTCCTCTGCCCTGGCCATGTTTTGGGGAGCTCTCTGCACCACAGGGCTCCAT